AATTTATGACTTCTTTCATTAAGATTACGATAATTTTGGGCAAAATTATGAAGATAAATGGTAAATTTTTCCATAGAAGTGGGTTAAGTTAAAACCCTAATGGATGAATTTATTACAACTGTGTTAACATTATAATATGAAAAGGCAAATTTGCTACCGTTTAAGGTTAAGTTAAAATGATTATGGTTAAGATTATTAGTATATAGGCCAATTTTACTTTCGTTTTGATTAATTATACAAACTTAAAAGTCAATTTACGACATCGGTGAAATGCAACAGTGTCATATTTATGTCTACTACTGTAATAAAACTTTTACTAATATTATAAATTTTTCAATGATGTTATAAATTTGTCCACTATTGAGGTCTTATCTTTTGCTTTTATTTGTGGCAAAATCTAATACCTTATGAACCTAACAACTTTTCAATGTGGAACCGAAAAACTACCGTAGCCCTCCCCTTTCCCCATACATCTGCATTGAATGGTCGCTAGCTGTTTTAGTAGTCCAAGGATACACATTACATGACGATGATACTAAAATGCCTTGTACCATAAGTCCTTCTTCCCTAAAAATAAGTAAAGAACCAGCGTTTTGAACCAGTCGTGATCAGATTCAAAGGGAATCAATGGACTCGTTTTAGATCCTTCTTCTTGTTCTGAAGAAGAGACTCGCCTTCTTTTGACTCATTAATGTTCTGTCTTGAGGCTTACTCAAAAGCTGCAGAAAAAGTGGGGGTTTGTTTGTCATCTAAATGACATGATTGCATTTTTAATATCGGTATTATAAAATTTAAAAAAATTTAATATATTTATTTAAAAGTTTTAAATAAACTCATTCAACAGTTATAGCATATCTTTTAAAAACATTCACATTATATTATATTTTCAAGCACGGATTACTCTAATGTATATATATCTTCGCACCACTCCGGCAGGGGAGGGGAACGGGATGGAATCACTAAATTATTTGAACTTTCACTAATATTCTCTTTATTTATAATGGATACTTGAGATCTCTCATATATATATTCAGGTACACATCTTTCATTAATTATTTGAAATTTTAATTAACCCCTTCTAGTTTTTTATGAAATACTACTTTTGACACCGTTAAATATGGTGATGCCATCAAAGTTTTATTTTTTATAATATAAGTTTTACCCTTTCTTTAGTTATTGGATGCAATGATAATCTAATGTCACCCTTGTTTTCAATTTTGATAAAATCTTATGTGAAAAACTAAGTAAATTTGAAATAAGAAGACTAAAATTATATCTTTACACTCAAAGAATAATAATAAATTCAAAACAATGTTCAGAGTTAATGTATATGGAGGTGTATACGAAATTATTCTTAAATATACGTAAAGTAATTTAAAAATTATTTTAAGAAATTAACCAGCCTTCAATAATTTTTTAGTTTGTAATAGACGCTAATCATTACAGGATCTACCATCTACGATAAATTGAGTTTAAAAGGAGTACAATGAAATTTTAGATACTTAAAAGAATATCCTTTAAGTATATGATCGAATAGCGAGTATTGAGTACAAATTAAGTCTTTCTAGAATAATAATAATAATAGTCGTATACTTGGTCAGACTTAGCATTGTGACCCTACCCCAATTTTTATATTCGTTACTTTGGTTTTGGGGCCTTTGAATTCTTATGAGCTACGGCCAACCGTGTGTTTGGTCCTCTCAACACCTGATGTAGAANTTTTATATTCGTTACTTTGGTTTTGGGGCCTTTGAATTCTTATGAGCTACGGCCAACCGTGTGTTTGGTCCTCTCAACACCTGATGTAGAAGTAAAATTTTGTCATTCTATTGTGATAATAAATGTCACCGATGGCATGACCTTGTAATGAATATTTTTATTATTTCTGTCGAAGATCGTTAAATTAAAGTAATAATATGATTTTATGCTTCAATTTAATTATTATTATGATTATAATTATATTCTAATTGGAATTAAAAAATAGTAGGGTGGACATACATATATTCAATAAATATTTTAAATTTGAGAAAATTACACTCAGACACTCTGAAATTTATTATTTAATTATTTAAACCCCTTAATATTTGAAATATTACACATAGATTCTCTAAAGTTTGTATATACGTAACACTTAGACCTCTACTGTGAATATCTGTTATATATCCATTAATAAATTATATTCAGACCCCCTAAAATTTGTAGACATATAATAGTTAGACCTCTCAAGTTTAAAATGTTATATTTAGATCAAAAATCATTCAATCAAAGATAAAATATCATATATTTTAAATTGTACAATCAAAATTCATGTTCTATTATGACATTTATTGAAATAAAATTAAAAATAAAATCTAATTTTTTTCTTTAAAAAGTTATAATTAGTATAAAATTATATTATCTATTAGAATTTAATTTGATCTTTTAAAAGACCAAATTAAACTACCAAATTAATCCAATTAAAGTTAGAATATATATTAGTTTTATTCTTATGATTTTTTAAGAAAAAATTATATTTTTATTTTTGATTTTATTTCAATAAATGACATAATATAACATGAATTTTGATTGTAAAATTTATGTTCTATTATGAATGACTTACACCCCTTGTTTAATGTTTTTTAGTTTTATTCTAATAGATAATATAATTGTATACTAATTATGAGTTTTTGAGAAAAAAATTGACTTTCAATTTTTTATTTTATTTCAATAAATGATATAATATAACATGAATTTTAGTTGTAAAATTATAAATATTTGATATTTTATTGATTGAAGTTTTTTTAGTCTAAGTATAACATTTTAAACTTAAGAGGTATAAATATTATATACTTATAAATTTTAAGGGATCTAAGTATAATTTATTAACGAACATTTGACGACAAGAGCCTAAGTGTTACGTGCATATGAATCTCAAAAAATGTGCGTATAATATTTTAAAATCAAGAGATGTGAGTAATTAGCTTATAAACTTGAAGAAGTTTGGATGCAATTCTCCCTCGAAGCAACCAGCACGCTGGACTCACCTGTAATAGATAGCAACAGTTTGTTTTTGTTGATCAGATCGATAACAACCATTCATTTACCCCAAAAAAAAGAAGAAGAAGAAGATAGCAACAGTTCTTTCTCTTATTTCTTTTTTTTCCTTTTATTTTACGAGGGTGATAAAATTAATATTTACGCATAATTTAGTGGATGGAATTTTTATAAACAAAGTGCACAATATCGAATTTGTAACATCATATCTAATAACCCGATAAACTTAAATCGCATTGAACAACATTTAAGCATCAATTGATATGGAACTATTGAACGTGTTAAAACAAGCATTTAAGCATCAATGGATTTTGATTACCCACCTAATAATGCATTCTATCTGTGGGTATTTTGTTATGTTATATTGAATTATGAAGTCAAATGCATTGTACCGTTATTCTGTGGCACCGTTAGTCGCCCTATATATTATTTTAAATATTTGGAGAAAATATTTTTAATTACTGCTTTTTCATCCCTTATCTTTTTGGACAGAGAATTTCTTTATATTTTTCTCGGTGAGTGAAATTCCGTTATTGACCCGCGTCAAGGACCTGGTCAAAATTGAATAAAATAAGAAATGAAACCAACCAAAATTTTGATGGCGAATTTCATCCTAAAAGTTTTAAAAACTTTAATTTTACATTCGTAAAAGATTAAATTTTTTATATGATACCCTTAATATATTAAAACTATTACAATGTGATCTTTTCGATAGTTTTTGATGATGCACAAATCGAATTTGCGTACCACCTATCAAGTAATTAATGCAAATAATAAAATAGAGAGCAAAAAACTCAACAGAAGCAATACACAATTTAATTGGTTCGGTCAAGGTAATCTACTTCACTGTAAAAGGCTAGAATGACCTGCGTGTTTTATTATTGTACGAGCCTAAGAGGATCAGGTGAGAGCTCAAGTGGGAGCAATGAGAGCTCATGCGACGTACAAGATGTGAGAGATATGAGACTAATGCAAGATGTGATCGATTTGTGTGAGATGCCCCTTATGTGTATGCGAGAGTTATATTTTATAGTCGCCTCTTAACAGATTGAGACGACTTATCAGTAACTAAAAGACTAATTTGGTGGAAGGGGTGTCATCTTCGCAACGAATAAGGCTGTTGCGGGGCTCTTCTCAAGACCAGGAATTAGGATAGTGTGGTCGACTTCCTTGCTACTTACTCCAAGGTAGCGTGTATGAGACTTTTGGGATGACATTGTCTACTCCTTGATGACGTGGCTCTTGGAGCCTTGATAAACCTGACTAGACGTGAAACTCTTTTGGACTGGACCCATTGAATTTGATCTAGGTGGATCCTTTATTCATGTTAGGCCCACAACCTCAGTTGGGTCTTAGGCTAGCCCCATTAGTTTTAGTTACTCATTTCTTTATCGTCAATAAGGTGGGTTTTGACGAAATAAGTAACGGAAGATAATAACAAGGCCACATTATAACACTTTTAATTCATTAAGGTGAAATATGAGAAATCTCATCTTTAAGGGTTTAAAGTGAATAAACTTAAATCTTTCGGGCTACAAAATGGTATTTCCCCCCTTTCTTTTTGTTAATTTTAAATTGAGAAAACAACACCTTTCGTGGATATAGAAGTTGGGATTAGTTGAAGAAGATTCAGATACTAAAAAACTTTGATTTCTCCCGAAGTCTTCCAGGCTGAATTTCTTGCGATTTTCTCAACTTGTATTAATAAATTGAGACTAAAAACAACAACAAAAAATTAAGCCTGCAATACTGGTCAAATTCTGTGTGCACCAGCAATTGTTCAATCTGTTTCTTTCAAGTCCTATAAGTCTCTCTATCTCTCTCTCTCTTAAATTTTGCTTTCTATACCCATATTCAGTATCATGGGAAAAACCTGTCAAAGGGAAGTTTTCCGTAGAGGAAATAATAGTATGACCATGAAGTTTTCTTTCCCTTGCCCTAAATGTTTCTCCTCTGCATCAGATATCATGGCTACCAGCAAGAACAAGACTGGTAAATTCTCTGTCTTTTTGGCCTTCTTTTCATTTCAATTCTGCTTTTTCCATGTATAAAACCAGGGAGCATGTATAAAATCAATTGCTAAAGCAGGTGGACAAACCACCAAGAATTTCCATGTATTTTCCTACAAAGAATTAAAAGCTGCCACTAATGGATTCCGTTCATCCAACAAGATTGGAGAGGGAGGATTCGGCACTGTCTACAAGGTAAGGCGTGTTATGGGTTTGACTCACAAAAATAGTTTCTTCTTTACCTTATGTACATTTGTAGTTTGTCTTGGCAATGCCTTTTGATAATACTTTTGGTTTTGGTTGGACTAATACAGGGCCGGCTTGGAGATGGAACTTTTGTGGCAGTAAAAGTGCTATTGGTTGAGCTTGAATCATTGAGAGGTGAAAGGGAGTTTATAGCTGAAATAGCTTCACTCTTCCATATCAAACATGAAAATCTTGTTACACTTCGAGGGTGTTGTGTTGAAGGAGCTAAGAGATTTTTGGTGTATGATCATATGGAAAACAATAGCCTTGCTCACACCTTTCTTGGTAATTTCAATTTCTGTGCTATTAATCTGCAGTGTAGTGTATATAGGAGATATTAAGATTAAAGTTCTTCTTTGATTTGTACATTCATAAGAATCTCAGAATGTTACTAGAAAATGTTTTCTTTGTGTGATGTTTGATCAATAGGTGGAGAGAAAAACAGGATGAGATTTAGCTGGACACTGAGGAGGGATATCTCATTAGGAATCGCTCGTGGACTTGCCTATCTCCATGAAGAGGTCAATCCCCACATCGTTCATCGGGATATTAAGGCCAGCAATATACTACTTGATCAGAATTTTACACCAAAAGTTTCGGATTTTGGTCTGTCGAAGCTATTCAGCGATAACATGTCTCACATTAGTACTCGTGTTGCCGGGACATTGTAAGTTGAATTACTGGTTTTTTCAAGTTTCAACCAACAATTGCAACATAGATCTGTCTGTATTGGGTTCATTCCTTTTTGAGTGCTGTGTTGCTAATGGGGATTTCTGCAATGACAAATGCCAAAGAGGCTACCTTTCTCCAGAATACGCCATTAGTGGACATTTAACGCGGAAGTCAGATGTTTACAGCTATGGAGTACTGCTATTGGAGATGGTCAGTGGCCGATCAATCGTTGATTTTGATTTAGAACGTGGGGAGCAGTTCCTAGTTGATAAGGTAACAAAATTAATTAAGCACTGTTGAATCTATCATAGCTAATATTTCCTGGCAAAAATGTGACAAGCCTGTTTTTTGATATCAGTCTAAGAAGCTCAAGACTCAGAAATCGCCATAGTTATTTTCAAGGGGGGGAAAAGCAAACAAACTTGGATTGATTTGGTTCATCAATAATACCTTGTTGAATGTGCTATTAGAAAAGTTTTTGGTCTTTACTAGAGTTCAGGAGTCATTTCTCTCCAGGCCAAAGTATTCAACTTTTACGATTGCATCAAATAAAAAAACTGGGAGAGAATTGGAATTAGAGAGAAGCCTCACACTCTATGACAAACTTTTGTCTTTCGACCATTTAAGGTAGATTTGCTTCTTGTATTGAAAAAGGAGAAAAAAAAATTGGGAGAATACATCATTGGTTTTGTATGGTCAAAAAATAAGGCATTGAGTGATTTCATTCCTTCAAAATATTTGTTACTACGATAAATCCAAAGGACACGCGGCTAAGACAATTTCTTGTTTAGGAAAAGAAATGAGGCATTGTGCCCCCTTGTTAGGTCAAGCATGGGAAATGTACAATGCTGTTGTGTGTACAATACATAGGGACTGTAAAAAATGTATACCAATATGAGATAATGTGACTTTCAATTGATCATATTGTTAGCTTTGCTTGGTTCCATATAGTAGACAATGACTTCTTTTGTGCACATTTAATTATGTGCAGGCATGGGAGATGTACAACGCCAACAACCTCTTGCAGCTAGTGGACCCTGTACTAAAAAGAGATTTTCCGGTAGAAGAAGCAGTCCGATTCTTAAAAATTGGCCTGCTCTGCGTGCAAGAGAACACCAAGCTCCGCCCTCCCATGTCCACAGCCATCAATATGCTGACAAATATGATTGACATTGAAAACATCAAGGTTTCGCAACCTGGACTTGTTGCCGATCTCATGGATGTTAAAATAGGCCAGAAGAACTCTTCCCGGAAAAGTAGCTTTTTCTCCTAGGCGTCCACCGGTATGAAAATATAGAGCGGCCGTGCGGTGGCTGTCGAGGCTAGCTTGGACCAGGCAATTGTATTTGTCTTGAAAATGAATCAAAAATTCTATTTTTTTTATCAAGAAAATGAAGCAATTCAAATCATGATTTTGTGATTCTAAAGTACCCATCCCCATTGCATTGACCAAACATTCACTAATTTCACATACTATGTAATGCTTAAAGTGAGAATGGCTAGTGGCGCAATGTACAGACTTTATGGATTGAGTTACCCTTTTATGTTCATACTTGAAAAGCTTTCTTGGACGATTTTCAGGTCTATTTCCTTGCAATGCAACACTGTAACTTCTTGTAAGTGGAAAAGGACAAGTTTCTTTTTTTTTTTGGCAACGGAAAATCATTCTAAACACGTCTATTTTAGACTTATGGGTACCAAATAAATCTCCAATGAATGTAATTACTTGTAATCCATTAGACTCAGAGTTTAATGCAATCAAATTGTTTCGAACTCAAAGCGTGCAGTTCACAAATTGACCCTTATTTGAAGAAACCAATCTGTGCGAATTGAGTATCTNCAGAGTTTAATGCAATCAAATTGTTTCGAACTCAAAGCGTGCAGTTCACAAATTGACCCTTATTTGAAGAAACCAATCTGTGCGAATTGAGTATCTAAATATTTATTGAAGAAAGAATTTCAAATAGGACAATCAACTTTAATATTACTTGGTATAGCTCATTTAAAAAGCCGTCTAGATTGTGGTACTCGAATACGATATGTTAGAAAACAAATAATTGCATGATATGTCAACTCTTCATGCATATGCACGTGNTTCAATGCTACAAAAATTTCAATACTGGTTACAAAAATTAAAGGAGATTGTTTTATCTGTTTTTTTAAAAAATATATATTGATTGGCAATGGTCAAAATTTTGTGTTATGGATTGGCTTCATGTATGTATAAAATAGTTATAATTTTGTTTTCGAGTTATATAGTGTCTTCAGACACGGGTAATTGCTAGNAATGTGACCCGATCCAATCCGCTGCGGACAACTCCCCTATATTATAGGGGCTTAGGGAGGCCTCTCTCTTTCCTCATAAAGTATATCTATATATAAGGAATTTGACTCAACAGACATAAACCAACGCTGCTACTCTGAATTTATTCTAGTGACATAGCTCTTTAAAGAGAAGGAACAAACAACAGGCAATGAAAAAGAAAAGAAAAAGAGGGAATAGAGCCACACAAGATGCAGAGCCTAATTCAAGAATTTTAAAACATAAATTGCTACACTAAACGCTTCCAAGGAAAATAAAAACCTAGTGGTGAGCAACCTTCACAAGATCTTGCCAATGCCAATTTACATAGGCACCACAATTGCTTCCAAGACAAACTGGAAAAAACACACACAATCAAAGTACAGAGAAAACAGAACAACACTATGGCAGAACAATCCTTAGTGATCTCTATAACCTTTTATTTTTTTACAGGAATCTCTAGCACCTCACACATTCAAAAGTAGTAAAATAAGTATCAAATAAAAGTCACATTGACACCCAGCGTAATGCGCTATAACTACTAATTGGAATTCATCTTTACATTTCCGAATATGATCATAATCCAAAATTGATTTCACCCAGAAAAATTCGAGTGAAAAAAAAAAAAATTAACCCACCATAGCATTTAACTATATAGAGAATCAAGTGCATATTTATTTGTCTGAGTATCCATGCACAGTTTTGCATCAACCGAAAAATATTTAAAGCTTGGGGCATTTATTCAATTATTTCTTTAACATCTATATAATAAAGTACAAAAGACTTCAAATTCGCTAAGACATAATAATGACTTTTATTTTTTGTGATTCTAAGTCATTTCAAAACAAATCCAAAAGCAATCTCATGACTGGAAATCATTCCCTAAAATATGAGTTCCTGTCCAAAACATTCCATATCAATGCGCTCTCACACACATTTTTACCTTGCTGGCCCAGCCTCTCACATCCGCTCTCTCTCCTCCCTCTTCCACATGCCCTAACTCCCTCCTCCCTTATCTCTATGTTTATTTCATTCTCCAGCACCCACCATCCTTACACTTTTCTAGAGGTTGCAAATGAGTGGGTTGAATTGGTTATGGGTTTGATTAAATTGGATTGAGTTAAAATAAATCTAATCTATTTTTCACTCATGTAGTAAATGAGTTAGGTTTATAAAGGGTTGGGTTAAACTAATTAACCCATAAAATAATTAAAATTTTTAATGAACACATTAGTACATCAAAACATACACACACACATTAGTAGAACATCAAAATACAAACATACATACACACTAATAACCAAAACACACACAAATTAATACACTAAAAATATACACACTAAAATATACACTAATACACCAAAAATACACACACATATACTAGCATAAAAATTAAAATATATTTAATAAAACAATACACAAATAATAGGTCGAGACGATTGTAGGCTATGGGCCACCCATAAGGGTCGTCAGTCAACCCATGGGTCATGGGTCAACCCACGGGTTATGAGTCGACCCATGGATCATGGGTCATGGGTGGTGAATTAGTGTGTGTTTTTTGTGTACTGGTGTGTGTGTATTTTGGTGTATTAGTATATATGTGTATATTTTTTAGTGTAATAGTGTGTGTATTTTTTGGTATATTAATATATTTATTTAATTTTATTACTTGTGTTATTTAATAAAAATAAAAATATAAATACTCAACTCAATGGGTACCCATTTATTATCCATATTAACCCCCTCAATTAAAATAAATGATATTATTCAATTCATTTAGAACCCATATTAATTAATATAAATATCTAACTCATTAATGAGTAATGAATTAAAATTGTCACCTCTATACTTTTACCGTCTCTCCCTCTCATCTCTATTTTATCTCCTTCCGTAACCAGAACTTCTCCCCAACACCAAACCACTAGCAATGCAGTCTATATCTGGCGCCAGGGACCCACCCTCAAGGTATGTCTTCATATTGTTGGTCCCGAAAGGAATTTGAGCGAACTAAGAGGATTGACTAAACCAGATAAGTTTCACCAATCAAGCGGAATATAACTGAACGAGAGTAATCAAGTTCAAAACTTGGCAGTATCAAAGTCTGGTAAATCTAACCTTGGTTCTGTTGCATATGTAAATCTATCTTTGGCTCCAAAACTTATATCCACATTCCACACTACTTTCCTGCTAATCATTATCGGTAGAATTACAAAACCAAAAAATCCTTTGATAGATTTTTATTTTGTGCATCAGTTATTTGCTGATAAATAACAGTGGTCATGATAAGCGCTATCTGTTGGCCAGTTCGATTCGATTGATGTTATTTTATTAAGAGAAAATGTTATTTAAATTTAATTTGAAGACGTAATTGAATGCAGTTATTAGATTAAATTTGAAACTCACAACTAATTCAATTATTATATTAAATTAGGTTCCTATAACATTGGTCTTTATTTATTAGTTTAGGGTTGTAAGGGGTAGAAATCGCTACGGATCTCATCCCTCCACTCCCTCCTCCATAGGAAGTGTTCATTTATATGGCAAGGGGGAAGACGACTCTCTTCCGATGTGGGATTGCCTTAGGAAATGGTCCTATTGGCGAAGAGAGGTAAAAGGCTACTAGGGCTCGGTGCCGCCAGGTCAGCCGGAATCCTTCAAGCGGAGGGATGAGATCCATAGTGATTTCTACCCCTTACAAGGGTGTCATTTCTTTTTTCATATCTCATGTTGTTACAATACTGTGCTTTGCGATGATGAGGGCGGGCATACTATATTTCATTTATGGAATACATGGAAAACTCCTTACTGTAGACCACGAAGACAACGCGTGATTTGAGCACTATTTGAATTGTATTTTACATATCATACACTGCCATTGGGTTTTTTGTTATATATTATAAATTGGTCATGTGAATTATTTTTTCGCACTTGGGTTGGATCCTTGCTTTCTATGTTTTTTTAGATAACCATTGACAAGCTTTGTTTTGTGATCATGATGTGAGTTCTCATTGTAAAACCTTCAAATTATGTGATGTTGATTTTTTTTTTAATTACACAGCGCTTTTAGGTGCGGGAATTAATTATAGGCACCATGTAATAAATTAACTCAAATGGTTTTTGGTGCGCTACTAAAGGATGCAATTTATGGCTTTTGCAAGAATTGGCTCATATGTAATTTTCATATTCTCGAATTCCAGTGGAACACAAACATATTCTCACCCAATTGCACAACGCGTCAGTTTCTCCAAAACAGGGCATTCTAACCTGTGTCGTGTAGGTGTGGAAGATATCATTGTTCTTGAAAGATTAGTGTCCTTTGTGTTTTATTCTTTAAGAATTTAGGGAATTTGAATAGATATTAACTAATGATACACAATTTTTTTTTGGGGTGGGGGGCCAAAGTACGAATGCTATTAGCAGTAGTAGTATTGCTAAACAGGTGGTTGAATGATACTGGTGTAATAAAAGGCGCATTCCTCAATGTTTTCAGCGTTCTTTTACATGTATACAAAATGAGAAATGTACAATGTTGTTGTGTGTACATACTGTTGAAATTTTCTTATATTAAATTTTTATTAATTGAAAGTTAATTTTTAGTTTGTGAAAAACGGGTTGAATCTATGGTCCAATGAGATAAGTCCAATATTATTAAGTGATCTATTTCAATGGGCTTATGTACATCTTTTAATTGATCTGGTTGAGACGGTTAAGTGTAGGCATTAATCTAATTGTGTCCCGTAATGGAAGAGTTCATTAAATTTCATTATAAATAGCATGTATGTCTCTTCTCCACTTCATAACCCTAAATTGGTTTGTCATATTAAGAGTTGTCTATTTGCTTTAAAGAATGAAATGAAGATCTTGTCCTTTTATAAAAAAAATTCAGATATCGAGTAGCATGACTCATACAGGTACGTTCTAAACCTATATGATTCAAATCTTGTAATTTAAGTGCTCTAAATTTTATATACGAATCATTAAAATTTCTTACATGTGGTATTAGAGCCTATCGTATATGAATTTAGAACCGAACGATATTTATTTTTTTATTTTTATTAATATAATTTTAGAATTTTAAAA